AAAAAAAAAAAAAGTGTTTACCCCAACAAAAAGCCACACCCCGCCCCGCCAACTTACGTTTAAACCAGCCCCGCCTCCTCCCTCCATCTCTGCACCGGCCCACCTGCGATCGTCCCCAAGCCCGGCCTTCGCCGTCGTCCACTCTCACTGCCCGGACCTTGGCTTAACTCCGGGCTTGACTTTCTGTCTCTGCTCCGGTCTCCTCGCTGGTCCGGACTCCGCCCCTCTCTTAGATTGTCCGTCTAGACTTGAGCTCCTTAAATCCCTCCGCTGAAGCTCTTCCCTCTCCTGCCTAGTCCAGTGGGGGACTACGAGGGCCCGAGTTATAGACGAGAAACAGAGGCTTTGCAAGGCTAAGTCACTCTCCAGGTCCCCAAGGCTGTCCGACCCCAACCAGGCTCTTGGCCACTGCAGGACAGCTGCTTGCCAGCCAGCGCCCACCCCTCCGCGAGAAGCAAAGCACACAGTAGGCGTTTCAAGAGTTAGTCCAGGAGTGGAAAGAGGGCGTGAGATCCCAAGTGTCGGTGTCCTTTCACGAACGGGATAAATTGCGGGCTGCGGATCCCGTTCGCCCCAGCCTCAGTTCGGTGCTAAACTCCCATCGTTTCCACGGAGGCGGTTCCCTTCGTTGGGCAACAGCGGAGTCTACTTCCGCCTCCGCGCGATGCTTTCTGGCCTCAGAGGCCCCCGTAGCCCCGCCCACCAGCAAGGCGGTCCTCGAGCAACGACATTTCTGTGGCCGGCATGAAGCCACCGCAGCGGCGGCGAACGGCCCCGGCGTGCTATCTGTCTGAGGAGACCGGCCCCACGGCCTGGACCACCCGAGAAAAGCGGCATCTACTGCGACTCCTGCAGGCGCGGCGGGGCCAACCGGAGCCGGACGCGGCCGAGCTGGCCCGGGAGCTGCCGGGCCGGAGCGAGGCTGAGGTGAGACGCGGTGCGAGCGCCCGGACCCGAGCAGGGCTGGGGGCGGGGCTAAGGGGCGGGGCCACGGTCGGGCGTCCTGAGCAACGGCGTGGCCGAGTGGAAGTGACGTGCCGGTGAGGCTCGGGACAGACTGAGCATCGGGCTGAGCACTGGAGGAAGACTAGGGACAGGGCTAGACC